AGGCACCACCATCACCCAGCAGTGGGGCTCGGGACAGACATCCCTTCAGTGTCTGCTATGGGCCAGGCACTCCCGTAAGTGACGTTCCCATAATAACGCAGTTTCTGTAACAACCCTATGAGGGGTGTTCTTATTACGGTTCCCATTTTAAAGGAGGAAACAGGCCCAGGCATTAAGTAACCAGCTGAGGACCACAGCTGGGAAGCAGCTGGATTTGCCGTGGGGCGGGAGGGGCGAGTAGGAGGAGGGTGGCTCTGGCTCCTGGACCCCACACCGTGCTGGACAAACGGTCCTGCACCACGAATGGCCAGTTTTTTCCTCCCTGTTTCAAAGCTGGTAGACAAGGCACCAGGGAAGATAAATGATGTGCCCCAGTGTAGACCCAGCCACCGAGAGTCCCACCTCCAGGCTTTTCTTTTTTTATTTCATTTCTTTTTCTTTCTTTGGGCTTTTAAAAAACACATCCAACGTCTGGACGCTGTGGTTACTCTGTTCTGACCTGTGGAAACGGGGCCCCTGACGCAGTGCAGGCCCCTTTAAGGGCCACTGCGGCGGAGCTGTCCTATCAGCACCACTGCCCGCCTCGCCCGCCCTGCTGAGGGCGCCTCAAGGGCACAAGGGGTGGTGGGGAGCCCGGGCTGGATCTGCGGCCTGGCGGGTCCTCCAGAACTGCCAGGGACCTTTGAATACAGCGCCCGCCTTCCCTCCCCTCGTCCCGCCGGGCCCAGAGCTGCGGGACCTGGCACTAAAGCCCTCGCCACCTTCTGAGCCCCAGTGGAGTATTTATGGGCCCCAAATACTTCCTGGCTCTGGGTGTGCGGAGCTCGGAGCCAGTAGCCTCCATTTGTCCCGATGGGGCTGGAGCCAGAACGGTCTGGGCTGAAAGGCTGGGAGGTTGGGGGCGGGAGAGACGGGGGAGGCCTGGATCCGGGCTGCAGGGTGAGCGTTGGGGCAGGGTAGTCACAGGCACAGGCTGGAGCCAGACTGTCTGGGCCCAACCCTGGCTCTGCTGTGGGATCCTGGCCGAGCTCCTTAGCCTCTCTGTGCTTGGAGCCCCGGCCTGTGACATGGGAATGACACATCCGGCACCGACGAGGGGCCATTGCAGGCGAATAAAGGAGGGACCCTTAACACGGTGCCTGCGCCTCAGCTCATGAGACTGAAAACACAGCAGGGACGGGATGGAACGAGAGGGTGGGGGGCTGTACCCCGTGACGGGCTAGGGCTGTGCCACCTCACCCTGGAAGCCGCCGGCCTCTCCATTCGCCTGCCCTCCACCCGACTGTCCCGCTCCGTGTCTGAATTAGGCTCCTGTCTTTGTAAACGGTTTCAAATTCCCCTTGAAATGAAAGCGATTCACGTCCATCCGTCCATCCATCCATCCGTTCACGTGCTGGGGAGAGGGAGCTGAGGAGACAGGAGAGATGGGACAAGTAATGGATCAGGGGTGGGAAGGGAAGGCGCAAGGGGTGTGGGGAGGACCTGCCTGTATCTAACGGTGGGACACGGTCTCTGAGGCCAGAGGAGTGGGCAGGGGACAGTTTGCCAAGTCAGGAGGCGCCCTAACCTCCAGGGACTGAGGGGTGGGGACAGTGGGAGGAGCCAGGAGAGTGGCGTCAGTGAGGAGGGCCAGTGGCTGGCGTGGGCCAGGTGGCCGAGCGGGAGGGGGGTATTTACAAGTTTATGATTTGGGGGCATTGTGATCGGCTGCGCCACCTTTGGGCCTAGTGGGATGCGCTGGGGGACAGTCAGGTGCCAGGTAACACGGCAGGTAGAAGGGATGTTTGGAGAAAAGCCTGGGCACAGGCTGCTGGTTGCCCAGGGACACCGTAGACCCAGGGAGCCAGGGAGGGTCTGAGAGGGAGGGGCTGTGAGCGGGAGCCTCTGTCCTGATCAGCGGACAGGAACGGGGTCGGGGGAGTGAGTGAACCTTGTTTGTCCAGCTCAATACAAGTCACAAAGCATGTCCCCCTCTGTGGCCCTCCCAGCACCGTTCTGAGCCGATAAAGGGATGTGGGCGCCTCCCGCCCCCAAAGTCCTCTTTATGCACCGAGGGGCAGAAGCTGAGGACAGTGCCTCATGGTCTCTCTCTCCTCTCTCCCCAGGGCACTAGTCCGTACCTCCGGCCTTGCTGACCATGCATGGGATGGCCAACGTGAACTCGGCCAGCCGCCCGCACTACGCCTCCTCCATCCCTGTGCCCCGAGCTGCTTCCCAGACCCGCATCCACACCCCGGGCGCCTCTCCTCAGCTGCGGCCTCGCCAGGCTGGCCTGGCCCTGAGCCCGCAGCGAGCAGCCTCCCCGAGGCCCGGCCGGGCTGCCGGCCACCCCAGGGGCGCCTCTCCTAAGGCCTCCCAGGGGAGAGGCTCCCCGAAGCCCTCTGGGGCGGCAAGAGAGTCGGCAGAGGGTGCTGAGAGCGTCTCCGGCTCCCCGTGGAGCAGTCCCAGAGTGACCCCCAAAGCGGCCCCGTCCAACCAGGCTGGTCCCAGAAGAGCTGGGGAGACACAGGGCTCCCAGGGCCGGAAGAAGGTGGCCCGGGAAGGGATTCCAGTCCGCCAGACCCGGGGCAGGAGCCCAGCCCGAACGAACCCTCGTGGAGAAACCCAAATACCAGGGACTCCTGAAGGTCAAAAGCCTCCTAACTGCCCTGGGAAAGATCAAAGAGACAGAAACTACAGAAGTTCTGGGGTCCCCAGGTCTTCAGAGCTCGAGGCCGGGGCGGCCTCAGGGGCCTCCTCTCCAGTCCGCAGCCCCGTGCAGAGCAGCCGCCTCTCGCCAGCCCCGGGGGCCATCAGCTTCTCCTCCGGCCATCAGCAGAGCCCTCCCATCACAGCTACGGTGGCACCTTTCCAGTACCGGTGAGCTGGGGCAGTGGGACCCGGGCAGGCCCAGGCAAGGGGGGCCCTTGCTGGCCAGTGGCTGGTGGGGCCCAGGGGGCCCAGAGCGTGGAAGACGTCGGCAGGGCAGGCCTACCGAGTTGGGGTTTGAGAGCTGTGGTGGGATTGGAAACTTAAAAAGGGGACCGATCCAAGCCCTGGCCTTTGCCTATTCTGGGGACTCCAGAGCAAACCGAGGCAAGGTGCTCCTACAATGTCCATTTCTCCTCTGTGGGAAGTGAAACCGTGTATCATCGGGGTCTTTTGGAGGCTTAAGCAGCTGGTTAGGTAGGTAGGTAGGTAGGTAGGTCAGTCTGACCCAGCTCACCTGGGACCAGGTGGGTTAGATTAACTGCATTGACTCAGACACTGGCCCTTCAGGTCCTGGGGCGTGAGGCCTTACCTGTTGGGACCCTAGTGCCTGCGTCTGTCTGTCTGTCAGTCTCTCTCTCCACTTACGGTAACATTGCCTCATGTGCGTCTGTTTCTGGGCCCAGCATACCAAGGACGCCACGTAATGCTTCTCGAATTGTCCTAGAGGGGTGGCCGCCGGGCCACGGCTCGTAGCAACAGGGTCAGCAAGCTGTCTGTCCAGCTCTCCTCAGACGTGGCGAGTTGACACCGTAGAAAAACAGACACTCCAGTCCGCTCTGCTTTTCCAATGAAAACAGCTCCGTGCTCAAGTGACCACATTAAGTCAACGGAACTTGAGTTACTAAGTATCGCTCAGTCTAGAAACACTCAAGTGCAAATTAGGCCCCTTTCTGGCCGCCTCGGTTCCTGGGGTTTTCCCTGTGCTCACGGGAGGGGGATCGCTCACATTTGGGTGTAGAAAATCTTCTATTAGGGGGCTTTGAGGGGGCACAGCGTCTAGGGGCCGGGGGTGGGGTCCGTGGGGAGCGTTAACTTTCTTACCAGAAGCCGAGAGTGTGAGGAGGTCTCTGGAAAGTCTCAATGCTCTCGTACCGGTCATTGGTACCTGGGGTCCCGTGACCCTCCGCACGTGTTCAGGCCTCCCTTAGCGTGTCCGGGTGTGGACACCACATTCGAGAGGGACAGCGACACACAAGAGCACCTGTGGAGGGAGACTGGCAGGTTGGCGAGGGGTCCTAGGAGTGACGTGCCACGAGAGCCATGGAAGGAACGGAGCTGTTTGCTTTGGAAGAGAAAGGCTCCGAGAGGGTCCCCGGGCCGTTTTCAGATACTCGAGGGGCTGTCACGTTGCGAGATGAATTAGGTTTATTTTGTGCGACGCGGTGCCAAGGAATGGAGTCGGTGTCCTGGTGCCCAGAAGCGAGTCGAGACAGACGGGGGGCTCAGTAGGAAGCGCTTTCCAGCCAGAGAGGTTTACAGATGAGCTGAGAGGCTGTGAGAATTCTGCCCGACTCCTCCTCGAGCAGGGACCTCTCACCTGGGGGCCCCCGTCTCCCAAAGCATCTCTCTGACCCCGCAGCCCACACGATGGGTTCCTTTTCGTTAGTGTGTTTTTTAAAANCTAGAGGGGTGGCCGCCGGGCCACGGCTCGTAGCAACAGGGTCAGCAAGCTGTCTGTCCAGCTCTCCTCAGACGTGGCGAGTTGACACCGTAGAAAAACAGACACTCCAGTCCGCTCTGCTTTTCCAATGAAAACAGCTCCGTGCTCAAGTGACCACATTAAGTCAACGGAACTTGAGTTACTAAGTATCGCTCAGTCTAGAAACACTCAAGTGCAAATTAGGCCCCTTTCTGGCCGCCTCGGTTCCTGGGGTTTTCCCTGTGCTCACGGGAGGGGGATCGCTCACATTTGGGTGTAGAAAATCTTCTATTAGGGGGCTTTGAGGGGGCACAGCGTCTAGGGGCCGGGGGTGGGGTCCGTGGGGAGCGTTAACTTTCTTACCAGAAGCCGAGAGTGTGAGGAGGTCTCTGGAAAGTCTCAATGCTCTCGTACCGGTCATTGGTACCTGGGGTCCCGTGACCCTCCGCACGTGTTCAGGCCTCCCTTAGCGTGTCCGGGTGTGGACACCACATTCGAGAGGGACAGCGACACACAAGAGCACCTGTGGAGGGAGACTGGCAGGTTGGCGAGGGGTCCTAGGAGTGACGTGCCACGAGAGCCATGGAAGGAACGGAGCTGTTTGCTTTGGAAGAGAAAGGCTCCGAGAGGGTCCCCGGGCCGTTTTCAGATACTCGAGGGGCTGTCACGTTGCGAGATGAATTAGGTTTATTTTGTGCGACGCGGTGCCAAGGAATGGAGTCGGTGTCCTGGTGCCCAGAAGCGAGTCGAGACAGACGGGGGGCTCAGTAGGAAGCGCTTTCCAGCCAGAGAGGTTTACAGATGAGCTGAGAGGCTGTGAGAATTCTGCCCGACTCCTCCTCGAGCAGGGACCTCTCACCTGGGGGCCCCCGTCTCCCAAAGCATCTCTCTGACCCCGCAGCCCACACGATGGGTTCCTTTTCGTTAGTGTGTTTTTTAAAAATATGTCTTTATTGATTTCAGAGAGAGGAGGGGGAGGGAGGGAGAGAGAAACATCAATGATGAGAGAGTCATGGATCGGCTGCCTCCTGCACGCCCCTGACTGGGGATCGAGCCCACAACCCGGGCCTGTGCCCTGACCGGGAATCAAACCACGATCTCCTGGATCCTAGGTCGATGCTGAGCCATGCCCGGCCGGGCTCAGTAGTGTTTTTAAAAAATATGCTTATATTGATTTTAGATTTTAGAGAGAGAGGAAGGGAGAGGGGGAGAGAGAAACATCGATTGGCTGCCTCCTGCTGGGGATCAACCCTGGGATGTGCCCTGACTGGGAACTGAACCGGTGACCTCCTGGTGCACAGGATGACACTCAACCACTGAGCCACACAGGCTGGGTCATGGGTTCCTTTTCTAAGAAGCAGCTCACTTCTGTCCCCGGCGACCCTGCATGTCCGTAGAGTCTCAAGGAAGCGGAAATGCAGTGCAGACCCTCCCTCGAACGGTCGTTTTCCAGTTGGCAAGATGCCGCCCCGGCGACTCTCAGGTCCTGCTGACTCGCTTCGTCTCGAATTCAGCCCCCGAGAACAAGTGTCTGGGCATTAAATAGGCGTTAAATTGTTCGAGGTTCTCCATGCTCTACCCTGCAAGTTCCCTGCCCTATTTAGAACCTGACGTCTTCCAAAGGGGTCAGAACTTTCTCCTCTGAACATTTCAATGCAACCTAAACATAGCCACGCGGCGGACGCTGCGTGTTTGCGTTGCAGACAGAAGTGGGGGGGGGGG